CTGGAGAGCAGAAGAAGAAGAAGGAGGAGAAGATGGAGAAGAGGGGGCATCAAATGTAACATGAAACAATTTGCAAATAGGCTTTTAGCTTACAGTTATGAGTTTCTCCCCCTCTCCGGCTATCTCTCTCTCTCTCTCTCTCTCTCTCTCTCTCTCTCGGTCTTCCTTTTATTTATATTCCGGTTTTCAGTTACGGCAGGGGATGGGGCGGGCTGGTTGGGGGAGGTCAGCTTTCGGCTGTTTTATAAAAAGCAATAACCATATTCTACGCATTGTTAAATATTTATGTTGGACAGCCATAAAAAAGTATTAAAACAAACGAAAAACGAAAAACGAAAACCAAGCGCAAAAGCAGAAAAATTGTGAAAAAGAAATTCGCTTCATTTGGCAACAAATTTGTTGTGACGGCTCCGGTCAATGGGAAATTGCATTGTTTTTGCTCACTTTGTTGTTGTTGTTGTTGCTGTTGTTGCTGCTGCTGTTCGCGCACATTTTTTGACGGTTCAACAGCTCTTGACACAGCGCAAAAAGCGAGAGCGAGCGAGACAGACATATAGACACTTAAAAAGCAATTGCCTATTGCCAATTGGCAAAAAAAAAAGAAGAAGAAGAAGAAAAGCAAAACGAAACCCAAAACGAAGAAAACAACAGCAACAACAACAACAACAACAACTGACAAATGCAAATAAAATGCCAACAAAAAAATAGAAGTATCTAAAAAATGGCCAAAGAGACAAAGGCAAAACCAAAACCCAAAACCAAAGCAATTAAATTTGTTCAAATCGATTTAAGCTGACAATAGACAGCAGCAGCGCATACCCTATTAGCAGCAATCGGAGGCGTATGGGCGTGACACACTCAGCAATACACAGCAATTACAACCGCAAATGGCAATAAAATGACAGAGTAAAATGTAACAACCGTTACAACTGTCGCAAGTGGCGCTGCGCGAGCGAGAGCGTGAGCGAGAGCGAGAGGGAGAGAGTAAGCTGTGTGAGCACATGGTAGAAACGGGATCGAGTCGAGTGACTGGCCGCTAGAGGGCGCCACAAACAATACACAAATTGGGACATTAGCAACTGTCTCAAACCCAAAAACCGTTATCGCAAATTGTCGCTACAATTAAGAGGGAGCCGACGACGGTAGAGCACAAATTCCCAGATATCAACTGATGCGGGCAACGAGCGACAGAGAGAGGGGGGAGGAGAGTGTGCAAGGTGCGGCTTTAGTGTAGCCTAGCCTGATAATATTTGAAGCCATTTTAAAAGCATACCGAAAACAACAACAACAAAAATGGCACTCGAATTAAGTAAATATTTAAAGATGGCCGCAGAGAGAGAGGGGAATGGGATGCGCTCTCTCTCTTGCTTGCCGTCTCGCTCACTCGCAGAATGCTTTGAGATATCATTTGATTGTTTTTGCTACGTAGCAGCTGAGCCCGAGGCACGGGGCGGGGATTGGCGGGGATTGGCGGAGCGCTGTAAGCAATGCAAATGCCATAATAAAACGCGAAAGAGCAAAGGAGCACAAGAGAAGGAGATGAAACATTTAAAGCGTAAACCCATTGAGCAAATATTTAACAAAGCGCAAAATTGCAGAATTCCTTTTTTCCTTTTATTTGCATATTTAATTTGTTTTGAGGTTTTTGCGCTGGACTCTTGCGCTCCCCCACTCTCTCTCTCTCTCTCTCTCTCTCTCTCTCCAATGCATACATGCTCGAAGCAGCTGCAAAGGCTGAGGAGAGCTAAGAGCAAGCGGCATGAGTGAGCGAGATGGACAGCATATGAAGTATTAAACATTTGCATTTGCATCTGTTCTTGTTGTTGTTGTTGTTATAGTTGTTGTTGCATTTGTGGCCATTGTTGTTGGCTGCTCTTATTTCAGCACTAATTTGCACTTTACTGTTGCTAATTGCTGCTGCTGCTGCTGCTGCTGCCTCTGCTGCTGCGTTTGCTTTTAGTTATTAAAAATAGTTCATACATAATTTGCAACCTGGTTTCATACTTGGCTCCACTGTTTAATTAATACCAAAACTAAGACGGCGCAGGAGAATGGAGCGAGGGAAGAACTGCAACAGTTCGCAGTTTGCTTTGTTGTCTTGTTCACACTTTGACCTCAACCAAACGGCGACAGCAGCAGCCACAAAAAAAAAAAAAAAAAAAAAAAAAAAAAAAACCAAGCAAAAAACAAAAACAAAGAAAAACTATTAAGCATGGGACGTGGGCCACGTCAGCCGTCCGCCCACTCAATTTGAAGGTTAAACTTTGCCATGTGCCGCCCATTGCCGCCCAGCTGGTGGGCGTGGCCGGCACATTTAGGCAATCCGCAAAGTGTCACACTCTAACGGCATTTTCATTAATCAAGTTGGTACAACGCCCTCCGCCCCCCCGCCCACCGTTCCACAGTCCCACAACCATGGCCACTTCGAAATCCTCATCCTTCTAACCACAACAGCAGCAAAAATGTATCCTTTGTCTCGCCTTTTGCTTTTACTTATCCTTTCGCCTTTTTCCTTTCTTTATTTTCCTTTTTCCGCGGTTTTCTCGCCTTTTGCCCTGTCATGCCACTCCCCCTCTCTCCCTTTGTGCGCCGCTGCCTCTGTCTCAGTTTCTCCGTCTGTCTGTCTGGCTGGCTGCGCCGCATGTGACATTAATTGAATAACGTAATGAATAACGTAATGAAGCACGTAAACTGTCTTAATGACAGTTGTCACAATTAATCACAGCCGTAAGAAGGTGCGAAACAAACAATTGGAAATGGCTTCAGTTATGCACGCTGTGCTCCCTATGTGTGCGCCGTCTGCTCCGTGTGACGTAACAAACTGCACGACGTACTGGCGACACGTGACGCAACTGCAGATGACATCAAATTAAAGACGTGTTACATTTTAGATATTCATTGCTTGACGTTAGAAGAATAGAATTCAATATGCGATGGCATATTGATCCTACGCACCGATTACGTGATTACGTGATGACGTAAGATTCTGCACTGCAACAGCCTCCATACTAGCATACTAGAATACATGAATGACGTAAGACACACAAATGTACTCTTACGGAACATTTGTGTGTCTTACATATTACATATTACGTTATAAAAAATAATAACCTAAAAATAACGTAACAGCTAAAGACTTAAATGCATGCTTAATAACTGATAAGCATCCCTTCTAGAGTATTTCACTGGCTACAGGGTATATATAAGTTGGACCTCCCACCTCCCACAGCTTTGATTGTTTTCATTGTTTTCCCTTTGTTTAATTGAGCAGGTGCTACCGTTAAGCCAGCCGCTGCGGCGCTTACGCACTTTTAATCTACATATTTATGGCTTGGCGCTGCCCTCTGACTCTTACACATAGTCTCACGCCGTCCTTGTCTAGCAACCTTCACTAATCCGTCGACTTTTCTTTTTTTCTGGTTTTCTTACAGCTGGCAACTGCACTGCTAATTGCGAGAGTTTAGAGGCAACCCGCAACAACAACAACGACAACAAAGCGAAGCGGCAGCAGGAGGAGAAGGTAGAAACCGAGAACTGAGAAGAGCAAAAACAACAGCGAAACAAAGGAATAAAAGGGCGCCTTAATTAATCACAGTTAGGTCTGCTACGAGCAGCGGCTACAACAACAACAAAGTGAAGACCAGCTGGAACTGAAAATAAAGGCGAGCGAAAGAGACAGACGTATAGAGCGCGAAGGCAGCCAATAAGAGCGCGCCTGACCTGTAAACGCGCGCAGCTTACAGTTATAAGCGACGCCTAAAAGTAGAAGACAGAAGACAGTATTAGAGCAGCCAAGGAAAGCGAGCGTATGTGTGTGAGCACTTATACGTATAAGACATAAGAACTATTAACAAGTGACTTGAAGCAAAATAGCCATAAGTTTTACTTATACTTCGCCTATACTCAAGCCAGTCGAGGACCTGCGAAGAGCGAGCGGCTGGAAGTATTCGTATAAGACGCAGGGCAGAAATAAGAGACGTATACCAACTTATACGTGCGTAAGCAGGACAGTATATGACGCATTGATTGGTCAGCTGTCAGCAATTGAATAGAACTCTCAGAATAAAATACATAACAATACATAATGTTAACGCGATCGGTGTTAGGTCTGCTGTTAGCAGCTGTGCTGCTGTTAACGCTAGCAGCGGAATCGCTCGGCCACAGAGATTGGATGCAGAACTGCAGCAATTGCCATTGCCATTGGAACTCGGGCAAGAAGAGCGCCGACTGCAAGGGCAAGAAGCTGACAAAGATTCCGCAGGACATGAGCAACGAGATGCAGGTGGTGGACTTCTCACAGAACCAAATACCCGAGCTGCGACGCGAGGAATTCCAGGTGGCAGGCCTACAGAATTTGCATAAGATCTACTTGCGCAACTGCACGATACAAGAGGTGAACCGCGATGCGTTCAAGGGACTGCCCATACTGATCGAGCTGGACCTGTCGAGCAATCACATCAAGCACCTGCACCCGAGCACATTCGAAGGGGTGGAGAAGCTGCGCATCGTCAACATCAACAACAACGAGATCGAAGTTCTCGAAAGCGGCTTGTTTGTCAATTTGCCCTTTCTGTCGCGCGTCGAGTTCAACAACAACCGCTTGAAGCAGGTGCAGCTGAATGTGTTTGGGGGTCCGCTGACCTCCATATCGCTGGAACAGAATCAGCTGACGCACTTGAACAAGGAAACGTTCGCCAACCTGCCCAAGTTGACGTACCTCTCGCTGCAGGGCAACGCATGGAACTGCAGCTGCGAGCTGCAGGAGTTCCGGGACTTTGCCATAGCCAGACGACTCTTCACACCGCCCACCGACTGCCGGGAGCCGCCTCAGTTGCGGGGCAAGCTGTGGAGCGAGGTGCCGTCGGAGAACTTTGCCTGCCGGCCCCGCATACTCGGCTCAGTGCGCTCCTTCGTCGAGGCCAACCACGATAACATCACGCTGCCCTGCCGCATCGTCGGCACCCCCCGACCCAACGTCACATGGATCTACAACAAGCGGCAACTGAACCCGAATCCCAACGACCAGCACTTGCGCATACTGAACTCGGTGGGCGAGCAGGTCAACGGAAAGCAGCCACCTGTCCAGGTGTTGACCTCAGAGCTGCGCATCTACGGCGTAAGGAACTCGGACAAGGGCGCCTACATATGCGTCGCGGACAACCGAGGTGGCAAGGCGGAGGCCGAGTTCCAGCTGCTGGTCAATGGCGACTATCTGGGAGCAGCAGCTGCCTCCGACGGCCTGGCCGGCATCAGTGGAGCCATCGGCGCCTCAACCAGCGATCCACAGACGAGCATCATCTTAGTGATCTGTGTGATAGCGACGACATTTCTCGTGCTGCTCATCTGCGCGGTGCTGATTCTGTTCTGGTACTGTCGTCGGGTGAAGACCTACCAGAAGGACAACACAATGATGAGCGGCGATGGCTTGATCTCCTGCAAGCTGGACAAAACCCACAACAGCTCGATGCTGGAAGGTTCTGTGATCATGGAGATGCAGAAGAGTCTGCTCAACGAGGTGAACCCGGTTGAGAAGCCACCGCGACGCACTGATATCGAGAGTGTCGATGGTGGAGACGACGGACACGAGATCAAGAAGACCCTGCTCGATGAAACGGCATACGGTAAGTGGGCAGGAATAAATTGTTTAAATCAGTCAAGTGGTAAAAATAGTAGGTGGAAGGGGAAGGCATAAAGCAAGACAAATTGAAAAATATGTATAATTAAATATCAAAGGACTAGCAGAAAGCTAAACGCTTCCAATCGCATGAGTTAGACAGAGGTAGCAAGAGCAGACACTGAGCATCGTAGAGCAAAAAAAAATTGCAAATGGCGTCAGATCAAAATATAGAACGAAAGTGAAAGTGGGAGCGAGAGAGTGCGAGGCGCAAGACAAGTGATATTGTACCAGCTCAAAATGGCGCAGGAAAGGGATACACATGATGCTGAGTGAGAGTGGGAGTGGGAGCGGGAGAGCAAATTGCAAATGGCATTTGCTTTTGGGCTTTTGCTTTTGTTTTTGTCACGACAACAAAATGAATGACGCGACGTGAGTTGCCTGTTAAACAGTATAGCTGTACCCCTTGCTCTCCCACGCCACTCGACCCCGGCGTTCTCTCTCTCTCCATCGTCTTCGACTCCCTCCCGCTGTTGGCAATTGCACATTTGATCTATTTGTCGAATATTTCCAGTTGAGTGCAGAGCAGCTCGCTCGACAATTTGGCTTGCATTTCTTTTTATTATGCAGCAGCAGCAACAACCAACACACACACATACACACACACACACACACATGTCTGTGTGTTCAATTCACATTTGAGATACATTTGTATCTATTACTTCCGCCGTATTTGGCAACACATTGGCCGCCAGCTCTGTACGACACAACTGCAAACAAACAAACAAACAACCAGACAACTAACAAATGCAACAGCAACAACAACAACAACTTTTTAGCGGATGTTTGCTTTAAAAATTTTGCAATTGGCAATTGAAATGCAATTGACAAACGCAAAAGCCAAATTGAATGCAATTGATACACTGCCCAAAAAAGTTGTAGTACTTGTGTTGCCTCGTTGCTGTAGTTGTTGTTGTTGTTGTTTGTGCATAAGCCAAACAGCAATGAAAGCAATTCGCTTAGTTATTGCAGGCAACTAGTGCCAAATGTGCTGAAAGAGTAAGGGGAAAATACATGACGTATGCAAATGCGAATGGAGCGGATAATAGAAAGGATATAGAATACATATATGAGAGATGATAGATATTACATGTTAGCCAAAATGGAACAAGGAACAAGGCCATTCGTATGGCTCAACTACAATAAGTCGATTTTAGGGAGCATTCCAAAGGTAGGGAAAAAGTAAGGCTCTTCCTTTCCATGACTATATTAAGCACTAACTCTTTATTGGTATTCCCCACCCAATAAATTATTTTAAAAACTTTTAATTGTTCTTTGTTTTCCAAAGCATTTGAAAACCCAGTGAACGGTTGTTCCCAGCAGGTGCTTGATTAAAGCGTATCGTATTCAATGACCATAATTAGATTTTGGCCTAGTTCAGGCATATTTATTAATGTATATGTATCGACAATTTTCATAGCTTTCATTAGCTGAATATAAGAATTGAGAAATTTTTATTTTCAGAATTGAATCATATTTAGAGGTCGACAACAAAGTAGAGCAAGCAAAGACAGCAAAAACCAAAAGGTATCTAAAAAGCATGAATATACCAAAAATTCATTTAGTTTTTCATTTAGTTGTTTAGTTGCTGTGGGCTTAGAACTCCAACAAATAGAAGACTTTCAAGCACCCTAGATTTTTTATTTGTATATTATTTGATAATAATATTGGATATCCAAATGATTTGAATATGCGAGCAGAAAGAGAGATAGAGAAGTAAGAGAAAATGAGAGAGCAGGTGAAGAAAAGATAGACAAACTGAGGAAAGAGGTGATGAATATGGATAGTGGAACAGAATGTAATGAAAGAGCAAAATAGAAAGAGAAGGAGGTGGGAAGAAAGAGCGGACCAGTGAGATGTCATTGAAGTTAAAAAATGAATTAAACATATGGATATAGATAGACAAATAGATATCAATATAACTGTAAACGCAGAAAGAAGAAAGAAATATTGAAATATCGATAAATATTATGAATGTAAAGGTAAACAAAGGGAAAGGTATGAGAAAGGATAGTTCAATATGTTCAATAAAATCAACAAGAAAACAAGATTAAAATGTTTTTAAAAGCACACAACTCTCTAATGATTTACAAATAAATGTATAGTCATAAGTTGTCAAACTCCCCTCGCGCGTGTAGAAAAAGTCCCCAATGCTTGTCCTCTAGCTAAGACTTAGAATTACGGAATTTCCTTCCAATTGATTCGCCAATCTAATCTAATGCTCTCTTCTCTTCTCGATCTCTCCCCTCGCTCCCGGCCGTCGTAGCCAATCACACACGCGATGACGAAACGCACTCGGTGGCGCTGTCAGACACGACGACCACGCCCCGTTCGCGACACGCCTACGTGGACGATGCGTACGGTAATAGCTTGCCACCGGACCTGCTGGCCTTTCCGGCCCGTGTGCCACCCACCTCGCCCTCGATGCAGTCCTCGCAGTCGAACATACCCGATCAGGTGATCTACGGCATACGCTCCCCACCGCCACCGCTGACCAGTCCCGTCTACGCGCACATGACGCCCCACGGCATCTACGGCACCACCACCACCACGATGGCGGCCCACAACGGCTTCATGACTCTGCAGCACCCCAAGTCTCGCAATCTCGCACTCATCGCCACCGCCAACAGCCGCCACCAACAGCAGCAGCAGCAACACCTGGCCGCGGCACTGCACCATCAGCCCTCCGGCGCCTCCTCCGCCTCGCCCTTCTTGCCAGCGCCCGTTGTCTACTCGCCGGCCTCCAGTGCCGTCGTGATGAAGCAGGGCTACATGACCATTCCACGCAAGCCGCGCGTGCCCAGCTGGGCGCCGAGCACATCCAATGCGGCTGCCGCAGCGGCTGCTGCTGCCGCTGCCGCCGCTCAGCACCAGCTCGGCGAGTTCCAGTCGCCCACTTCGCCGAATCCCAGCGAAACGGGCACGGCGACCACTGTGGAGCTGCAGGCGGAACCGGTCTACGATAATCTGGGACTGCGCACAACGGCGGGCGGCAATTCGACCTTGAATTTGCACAAGGCACAGGGTGGCAGCGGGTCACAGGGTGCTCAGCAGCAGCAGCAACAGCAACAGTATACAATGCGCGATCGGCCATTGCCAGCCACGCCCAGCTTGACATCGGTGGCCTCGGCCACAGCCAGCAAGATTTACGAGCCCATACACGAGCTAATACAACAGCAAGCACAGCAGCAGCAAGCACAACAACAACAGCAACAACAGCAGCAGCAGCAGCAACAGCAACAACACTTATACAATTCGGATACGGAACCGTTATATGGCGGACGGCATTACGGTATTACGATATTGCCCGGCTCGAGCATTAGCGGCGCTGGCTTGAACTCGCCTGGTGCTGCTGCGGCAGCTGCGCCAATGGCTATGGGAGCGGCGGGGGCGCCTGGGGGCGATTCGCCAAAAATGGCAAAGATACCGCCCAGACCGCCGCCAAAGCCCAAGAAGAAAATGTCCGTCACGGCGACGCGCAGCGGCCAGGGCAGCACAAGTCAGCTGTTCGATGACGAGGGCGAAGACGGCACCGAGGTTTAATTTGGCATAAATGAACACACAGACAGATGCCCCAACACCCTCCCCCACCCCTTTTAACACTCTCTCTCACTCTCTACCCCTGCCCCTCAACTAGAAAGCGATTCATTTGAAATTGCCTTTAGCTCCAGCAAATTGTAAAGATGATCTTAAAATGGCCGAGAGAGAGAATTAAACAAAATGGCCGACAGCAGAGCTTCACTCTTAACAGCGACAGCTGCTCATTCTGCACTGCTAAGACAGCATAACTCCACTCTTAACAGCGATAGCTGCTCAATCTGCACTGCTAAGACAGCAGAGCTTTACTCTTAGCAGCGAGAGCACTGTTAGAGCCACAATTGCAGCAGCAGCTGCGCAGCAGAAGAGCCAGACAGCAGCGGGTTGTCCTGCTCTGCCTGCTTGCTTATTACACACACACTCTCTCCTTCTCTGATCCACAGCGTGTGGATCTGTCTATCGCACGTGCCGCTAAGCGCGTGCCTTGTGTGCCAAACCGACTGATGTAGAATTTAGTAATTAAAGCGAGAAACGATACGAAACACAAAACACATACAAACGCAACAGCAAATCAAAGAAGACGAACATGTACAGCGCCAGCAGCAGAAGCAGCGACGCCAGCAGCAGCACCGGCGCCAGCAGCAATAGCAGCGACAGCAACAGCTGCTATGCCCCACAGGGTGAGCCAGGCAAATAGATATTGAACAAAAAGGACAGTACGTAAAAAAGTAAATAAAAAGAAAAAACAACAACAAGAATACAAAAATAAAAACTAATTAAAATACATAT